CCCTCAACAAAAGCAGGCATTGCCTCCGTCTCATTCAACTCCGAAGTCCTCGGGCGAACCGGAAATCGTCGGCTCAGCACTGTGGGTTGCCATAAGGGCCCGGACTACAGCTTAGGGTCTAGGGTGTAGAGTTTAGGGTTTAGGGATGTTTAGGGTGTAGGGTTTAGGGATGTTTAGGGTTTAGGGTTTAGGGATGCTTAGGGTCTAGGGTTTAGAGTTTAGGGTTTCGGGATGTTTAGGGTTCAGGGTGGTTTGGGCTTTCTTCGAGGGCTTTTCGTGGGGAGACATTTAGGTTAGGTTTAAGGACTTAAAAACCCTAAACCGTGACTTATCGCTTCCTTTGGGTTTCTTAACAAGGGCTTCGGTTCTGGGATTTGTGGGCAAGTACTTGCGGGGGTTTAGGGTTTCGGAGGGTTTAGGGTTTAGGGTTTCGGAGGGTGTAGGGTTCATGGCCTAGGGTTTGATGTTGAAGGCTTAGGATTCTGGGTCTGTCAGAGCTTCATTTTTGGGCTTGCATGCTCTTGTGTCGTTCTGGACCATTGGACCCTAAACCCTAAACCCTAAACCCTAAACCCTAGTGAGTGAGTCTGTCAGGCGTGGGCCGAAGGCCTAGGAAAAGTGCTAAGCACATACTAATGTGGGCACGGTTTAGGGTTTAGGGTTTCGGGTTTAGCGTTCGGGCCTTGCAGCCCCGGAAAAGCCATAGGCCATAAACTCTAAAGCCCAAAGGCTTGAGAAACGAGACTTACTTCGTAATAACATCCCTGTATTTTGTTGTGTCACTTGGAGGCCCAGGGGACTTAGTAAGTCGGTTATAAGTAGGGTTATAATTTTGGTAACTCCAGTTAGGGTACCTATAGCTCTACCTATAACCTACTTACTAAGTCCCCTGGGCCTCCAAGTATAAAAACCTTACGCAAAGCAAGTTCCAGAGTGTTCATGTCTCCGCCAGCCACACGAGTCACCCCAAACCCCAAACCCTTGCTGCAAACCGCCAAACCCTCCAACCTTACACCCCTCGAACGCAAGCCCTTAGCCCTATAATCAGGCCGGCACCCTATATGAGCCCTACCGAGGCACGCGGTACCATTGTCCGTCTCGATCTCAGGAGTGCAGACCGCCTGCAGTACAGGATTAAACACGCTTTGGGGCCCCGGAACCAGGGTTTAGGGTTTAGGGTTTGAGGTTTAGGGGTTTAGGGGTTTAGGATTTAAGGGTTTAGGGGTTTGCGGTTTAGGGGTTTCAGGTTTAGGGGTGAAGAGATTCAGGGTTTAGGGTTGCAGCTGCTCTTGGGGTTCGGCCCCATTTATGCAAGATTTGCAGAACGCCTGGCTTTGCGTCGGGATTGGAGTAAGAGAGAACGGTTCAAAAGTTCACCTTCCTTCCGGAGGCCTCGTTCTTCCTACCCGGCGAAGCATTCACAGAACAAGATCTCAAGCAAGCCTTAAACCCTAAACCCTAAACCCCTAAACCCCTAAACCCTAAACCCTAATTACGAAACCCCTAAACCCTAAATCACTAAACCCAAATCCCCACCTTTGAGGACGACATGACTCTTAAGAGTAGGGGCCCTATGCCATCATACTATGAGTCCCTATATGGTATATGAGCTTCAAACCCTAAACCCTAAACCCTAAACCCTAAACCCTAAACCCTAATATCAGCCTCCAGCCCTTTTAGGGTTCCCTTCGTCCTTGAGGTAAGCATCAATGCCCTAAGCGCCTGTGCGGCTGAAGACGGCTTAGGGTTTAGGGTTTAGGGTTTAGGGGTTTAGGGGTTAGGGTTTAGGGTTTAGGGTTTAGGGTTTAGGGTGCGGGACAAGGATTCCTAACAACAAGCTCTCAGCCCTCAGGACAGCCCCCTTTCCATTAGGGTTTAGGGCTTCGGGTTTTTTAAGTGCACTAGCCTCTTTCTCCATCCGCCAAGGCTTAGGGTTTAGGGTCCAGGGTTTAGTGTTATGGATACCGCTAGTATAGTTGTATGATATCTTCGTTCAGGTCACACTCTCATCAGTCATCAGCAATGGTACTGTTGTTGCTAGTTTTTTCGTTGCTCGTCTTAGCACCAAGTCTGGCCAATTGACCAGTTGCTGCCCTTCTCTCTGATATATACTTACAATATCTTATAATTACATCCTGAACTCAATCCCAAGCAAACTTCCACACCCAGCTTCAGCCTTTTAAGGCCACAACAGTCCTTTACAGTATAGTTACAACAAAGAACCCTAGGAATAATATGGCAATTATTCAAAGCCCCTATATTATTCTCGTAACCCTTCGAGAATGCCTGGATGTTGAGGATGATGTCGGAAAGCTGATCGTTGGTATCCTTTTCGGTAGAGAAAGCAGCTTCCGACACCTCGAAGATTCCATGCGTTGCTCTTGGACGCTATGGGCTTGCTGGGGTGCTTGAGGTGTGCTTCGAGTTTAGAGTCTGTTTGGGTGTAGGGCTTAAGGCTTCTTGGGTGTATAAGCTATGTGGTTTAAACCCTCAGCTATAATGATTAATCAAGGAACCCACCACAAATTAATGTAGAGCTCCATATGATGATTTAAGATATAGTCCTTACTGAAGGAATCTACCCTAAACCCTAAACCCTAAACCCAAAACCCTAAACCCTATACCTTAAATTGATAAGGGGCTTCATCTGATGATGTAAGTCCTATTCCCTAATTAAAGGGCATTGGGCTCCCTTGGTACTTCCACCCCTACCGAAGTCATGCTAATGGCCAGCCTTGGACTCTGAACCACTCAAGCCTGCGTCCCAACACCCGAAACCTAAAACCTGCGCCCCTCATGTATAAACCCAAGAGATCTGATCTAAGTGTATCCTTCCAGAGCCCTTAAAAGGAATCCTTAGACAACCTTTGAAAAGAACCCTAAGAAGAAACCCTATACCGTATACCCCAATCTGAAGCGAGCCCTTGATGGAGCCCCTAAAGGGGCCCTTCAAGGACCCCTTAACCTAAACCCGAAATTCTATAAATCTTAACCCTAACCCAATACCCAAAAACCTTAAATCCTAAACCTGAACCCTAAAACCCTAAAACCCTAAACCCTAAAATCCTAAAACCCTAAAACCCTAAACCCTAAACCCTAAAACCCTTAAGCGGAGCCCAACCCCTGAAAGGGACCCAATGAAAAAGAAAACGCCGTGGAGCTGTGGCCGTGACCACTGCGTCGCTGATGGCGACTCCTGGGGTGGTTTCGGATTTTTGGGTTGATAGACTTATAGGGTTTAGGGTTTAGGGTCTAGGGTTTAGGGTCTAGGGTCTAGGGTTTAGGGTCTAGGGTTTAGGGCTTAGGGTCTAGGGTTTAGGGTCTAGGGTTTAGGGCTTGGGGTCTAGGGTTTAGGGTCTAGGGTTTGGGGCTTAGGGTCTAGGGTTTAGGGCTTAGGGTCTAGGGTTTAGGGTCTAGTGTTTAGGGTTTAGGGTCTAGGGTATAGGGTCTAGGGTTTATGGTTTAGGGTTTAGGGTTTAGGGTCTAGGGTTTAGGGTTTAGGGTTTAGGGTTTAGGGTTTAGGGTCTAGGGTCTAGAGTTTAGGGGTTTAAGGTATGGGTTTAGGGTTTAGGGTTTGGGGTTTAGGGTTTAGGGTTGGGTTGAGCTCTCAACGGTGTAGGGTTTGGCGTTTAGGGTTTAGAGGCCCTAAACCCTAAGACCTAAAGGGGCCTCCACCCTAGTTCAGGGTTTAGGGTTTGGGCTTGGGGTCTGGGGTCTAGGGTTTAAGGTTAGGGTCTAGGGTTTAAGGTTGAGGGTTTAGGGTTTAGGCAGTTGTTTGTGTTTGTGTGTGTGTTGTGTTTTTTTGATGTTGTCGGGCTTCCTTGGGTTCCACATGGGCCTTGCAGGGTTTTTTGGTATTGAGGAGTTCTTTGTTTAATGCCTTTTCTGTAGAGGTTTTACACAAAGGTGTAAACAGCTCTTTTTCGGGTGGGGCCTGGATAATTCCAACAGGGCTTTGGGTGTGTTACTTACTGTAAGCGTGGTACGAGTATAGGGCATTAGGTACCATTACATTACTAGTTGAGCATCCTATGTTAGGGTGTTGTGTGATGTGGGGTTGAGTGCTTCGAGGTTTCAGTAACGGAGGTTTTCCTGAGGGCTGCGGGTTACGTAGACTCTTATTAACCACACTTCTATGAGATACGTTATGTCCTTGTGAAGGGCCAGCATTCAACCCTAATTCTAGCCCGAATTATAACAGCCAGCTGGGCTAGAGTGTGGAGATCCCTGTTGCAACATCTGACAAGCTCTGGAAGGCGGTCCATCCACCGCCTCCAAATTTTGGCCATGGAAGAAGTCGAACAGGAAGA